TGGCCTGCCTTCCAGGCTCAGAGCTTGTGAACAGGGTAGGGAGAGCCTCAGCTTGACAGCCGTGCCACGCCGTATGCTACCCCTCTGTGCGTGGGGCTCCCCCATAAAACAGCCCTGAACCCCAGGTCAGCAAGCCCTGGGCTGGAGAGGCCCCAGGACCAGACGGCCTGAAGGGGTGTGCTTTCCCAGAAAGGCAGGGTTTTCCAAAGTCTTCTCGTTTGGGGCTGGATGGCAGTGGGTATGGGCGGGAGTGGGCACCCTATAAAGGGGCAGGAAGAGATGGGCTGTGGGGCCTCTGTAGGCCAGGGACCCCGAGACCCAGGGCCCTCCTGGGGGCGGCAGTCCCAGAACCCAGTCCTGGGCCTCTTCCACCCGCTTCTGCAGGTACAAGTGTGGGTCTGGAGCCACACACATCAGCACCCCCACTCACCCAGGGAGCCTCAGTTTCTGCATCCGTGAAGCGGGGCTGATCCTGGGGCCTCCCCTGTGGTTCTGGACTGAGCCTCGCTGAGCGCTCAGAGCGTGGGCCCTGCCCCCAGATCAGAGGAGCTGTCAGCAAGCGGCGGCTCGGCCGGACCCAGGACAGGAGCCCCTCCAGGGCCCAGCTCTGCAATCCTTTCTCCAGGCGCCTGGGGAGGGCCAGCTGGGGTCGGTGACGTGGTATGCGTGAAATCCGTGACAAACGTGTGTCTGTCCAGACCAGACTGCTTTGACGAATGCCCAGGGCACGTGTGGGGCTATTTCAGGTGAGAGGCAGAATGTCCCAGGCCGGGAGTGGGGGTGGAAGGTGGGGCTCCCCTGGGCTGCAGGGCCCTGGAGCAAACAAGGTGGGGTCTGCTTGGGGGGTAGAAGCCCAACTATCAGGGATGCGGGAGGACCTCAAGGTCTCAGAGGGCCCTGGGTGGGGACAAGCGGAAGGAAAAGGCCCAGGAATTTGCCAGAAAGGACAAATCCAATGACATTTGGGTGTAACAAATACACGGAACTTCAATTAGAAAAAAAGCAACTTACAAAAAAATAACAAGTATGTTAGGAACAAACAGTATGGATTGAGTGGCTGTTCTGCGCCGTTCGTCTTGGGCCAGCTGTACAAAAGCAACCTGTGAATTATTTTTGCACGTGGAGTTCTGTGGGTTATACACTAAATTAAGTCACATACAAGGAAAGAGGCATTTCATGAGCTCTCTTTATTCGCTGCAAGCAGCTTTCCCTGACTTGCAGAGCAACAGGTGAGGGTAACTCCAACGAGAAGTAACCTCCCCAGGCTGCAGGATGGTTGTGAACATCGCCACAGCTGGAGAGAAGCCCACGCCTGCATCCAGGTGTGCTTATTGTACCTGGGAGGAGCGGCAACATCCCCAGGTGCCTCCATCTGGCGCAGGACCGCAGTAGGGGTGATGCAGCACCCCGTTCCACCACCAGAGGGTAGCCTCGTCCCGCTGAGCGCGCCTCACTGCCCAGCCAGCGGCCCCAGCTGATTGGCTAAGCCCTGCCGTCTCCCTGGCAACCGCCTCCAGCCCTCCCTCTCCCAGCGCCCAGCACGCAGCGCGCCGCTGGTGTGATGGGCAGGTGCAGGCCCTCCGCAAGCTGTCCGCCGGAGCTGCCCCAGTGGACCTGCCCGCGGTGGATGCATGGACGCACGGTGGACGCATCTCTGACTTCATCTCGGCTGAGGGCCCCCCGTCCTGCCCTGGGAACAGCGGCAAAAGGAGAGCTTTCAGAGCCAGGTGGGCTCCCCTTCCCGCTGACTGTGTCACACCTGGTGGGGGGGCTGGGCTGGGAGAGTGCCTGCTGCTGAGGGGAGAGGGGGCCCCGGGGGGTCCGGGGCAGGGAAGAGGGGGTGCCTGGGACGCTGCTCCAGCTGGTCCTGGGGGAGGGCGAGTGAGAGCTTCCTCCGTGGACAGACCTTGTCAGGTGTGCAGTCATGATGAATTTCAACCACCCAGCGCTCTGCTGTGACACCCCAGCCTGTCCCCAGAACTCACGAAAAGCCTCAGGAGGACACCTTCCCAGTTCAGAGCAAGACACACAGAAGGGCAGCCAGGGACATGCCAGGAGCCTGCACAGGGCATCTAGGAGAGGGGGCCCCGGGGGGTCCGGGGCAGGGAAGAGGGGGTGCCTGGGACGCTGCTCCAGCTGGTCCTGGGGGAGGGCGAGTGAGAGCTTCCTCCGTGGACAGACCTTGTCAGGTGTGCAGTCATGATGAATTTCAACCACCCAGCGCTCTGCTGTGACACCCCAGCCTGTCCCCAGAACTCACGAAAAGCCTCAGGAGGACACCTTCCCAGTTCAGAGCAAGACACACAGAAGGGCAGCCAGGGACATGCCAGGAGCCTGCACAGGGCATCTAGTGCCCACATCTGGGGGCAGGGCTGTTGGTCCCAGCTCAGCACTCAGGTCAAGGTGTGGGGCAGGTGGGAGCGCGAGGAGGCGAGTAAGGAGACAATCTAGACTGTGTGGTCAGGGCGGGCCTCAAGGAGGAGGCAACCACACCGAGGTTCAAGGAAGGGCATTCCAGTAGGGAGACAGCGGGTGCGAAGGCTCAGAGGGGGTGCCTGGCTGGTCAGAGAACAGCCCAGAGGTGGGAGAGGGCAGAGGCAGGTGAAAAGGTGGGGCCCATGGGACAGGTCAGGTAAGGGCCAGGCATCGTGGCAGCGTCCACACCGCCGAGCACTGGCCGGACATCTGCTGGTCTGGCCGCCTCCTTTCAGTCACCTCCCTCTCCCCCTTCTTTCACGACCCCCCTACTCAGGAGGGTCAGCCCCCTCTGCGCCCGTACCACTGACGGCTGCTCTCGGCTTTGCAGGCTCTGACCCTAAGCAGGAGGCTGGCATCATGCCCTCCCTCTCTGTCTAAGCTCCCACCAGCTTTGAGCCTCAGGATTGCAAACCTCTGTAACCCCTCACTCGCTGGAGCTCCCCATCTTCTTGCAGAGCCCTGAGACCCCGGTGTGGGCTAAGGTGCCCTGTGGGGCTGATCACATGGCACGTGGGTTGGGTGTAGACCCCAGAGGAGGGAGCAGTGGTAACTTACACGTGCTCTGCACTTCAACAGGACAGTCATGCTGGGGTGAGGCAGAGGCTCCAGGGCAAAGGTGATGGCATTTGGCCCCGAGCACCTGCCCACTCACTCACTCATTCATTCATTCAGCAAACACTGCCTGGAACCTGCATGGCCAGGCCCTGTGCCCAGGAGGCTCAGGAGGGGTCCGAGCGACACAGAGCCTGTCTGACAGAAATATAATGTGGGCTGTGCATGTGACTGAAAATTTTCTAGTTACCATGTGAATTTTAATAATGTATGTTTCTTAACCCAATGTATCAAACTATTATTATTTCAATGAGGAAGCAAGATAGAGATTATCAATGAGCCATCTTGCATTCGTTGTTCTGGGCACCCAGTCTTTGAGATCTGGCATTTCTTGCATGTATTTAATGCACAGGCTGGAACGGTGGGCTGGTGTGTGCCAGGAAGAGGCCCCCACCAAGGGGCTGTGGAACAGAGGAGGGAGCTGCCAGTGGGGAGGGGGGCTGGAAGGCTTCCCAGAGGAGGAAGGCTTCCTCTTTGAGCATGAATAGGAGTCCTTCAGGTACAAAACAGGGAAAAGAGTCATCTGATTTCACTTGGGTACCCCAGGTAGGGCTCACGGGGATCACTGAGGGCTGAGAAAATCAAGGACCTCCCAGCGGGAGGCCCCGAAGGAGCCGCCAGGCCAGTGCTAGCCGTCGCCCAGGGGCAACACCGAGGTCTAGAAGTTCAGCTACTAACAGGCCAGCCATGAATCTTGAGCCGTGTTAGCCACGCCGTTGGACACTGTCACTTGGTCCTCTGGCTTTTATAAGACCATTGGGCATGTGGCTGTGCCTTCCAGAACCATTTGTGTATGACGGGGAGAAGGTACAGGGGGGATTCCCAATACAGGCGGTGTAACCAGGCACGGTCACCCGGTCACTGCCTGTGTTGTCCTCCTGAGACTGAAATCTCTCTCCTGCTGCTGGGCCCCAGGTGAGGCTGCCTTGCAGGGAAGCCACCTCACTCAGGGTCCCCGGGGACCAGTTGGAAGGTTGCTGAGTTCTTGAAACCCTTTAGGCACTCGTCTTCCAAAATGTTTCTCTGGCCAAGTGACCAGTGAGGGGATGGCCAAGGGCTGTGACAGCAGTGTGTGACCAGAGGCTGTCCCTTCTGTTCCCCAGGGGCTAGTGTTGCCTCTGTCGGAAGTGGGGCTGCTCTGGCCTCTGCACTGTGGTTCCGGGGGACGGCAGGGGCAGCAGGAAGGTGTCTCCCCCCACAACCCCTCCCTGCTCTGGGCTCCGGGGCTCATCCCACTGGCTAGCAATGCCCTTTCCCCTCACAGTTGCTCACTGTGCATCCCACAGTGGAAGTGGCTCCATCTTCTCCTCCTCAGGGGTCCTGAGCAGATCTGAGCAGGGCCCAGCGGTGTGGCCACCCTGCAGGGTGTGCGTGTCAAAGCCCAACCCCCACCTGAATTGACGAAGAAACCGGTAGGTAGTGCCCAGGAGGGCCACCCCGGGCCCCAGGGTCAGAGTCCTCCTGGGAGGCACCTCTGGCCCCTTGGGACATCCTGTCTTATAAGAGTGTCTTTGGTCGCCCGGGGCCTTGGGCCGCACCAGAGAGTCCCTGCTCACCATGGGATTTAGGGGGGGGGCCTGGGGTTGCACCATGTCAGCTGAACCTCAGGTAGGCTAGAGACTAAGGGCTGCATGTAGGGGGGTCAGCCGTGTCCATGTGACCAACACCCAGTGGCCCGGACACCGAGGAGCAGCTGGGCTCCCTGGGGGGCAACACCCCACGGGTATTGTCACACCGCTTCTGGGGAGTGAAGGGCTCCTCCCACACCTCCGCGGGAGGGGGGAGCCCGAAGCCCCAGCCTGCCCCCCTGGACCCTGCCCCTCGCTCCTCCTTCTGTTCATTGTCTCCTGTCCTTTCTTGCTGAGCTAACAGCTTGGTTGGGTCCTGGAGTCCTAGCGAATCACCCAGCCCGAGGGTGGTCCTGGGACCCTGGCCCTGCAGGCTCCGCCTCTGCTGGCTGGTCCTGAGGCAGGTGAGGGGAAGCGGTCAGCCCCTTTCCAGCACGGCCCATGGCACAGGCCCCTGCAATACATTTTGAAATGTGAAAAGAGTCTCCCCAACCTCTGACTCCTCTCTCCAGCGGTCCACGCTCCTGGCTCCGCCTGCCTGGGGCCCCCAGCTGGCACCCCAGAGTTCTCAGGGAGAACCACACTGTTCCAGGCAGGGAGGCCTGCGTTCTGCCCACACCACCCGGTTCTGAGACTCCTGGGCACAGGGAGGCAGGCAGGATGCAGGGGTCACTGCCCACGCAGCCCGGACGGGGAGACTGTCATGTCAGAAGGTGGAGACCTGGGGCTCCGGGGCTCCAGAGGCCACATCTGCCTCTGTCCCCCCTGGCTCAGATGTCCCTTCTCCCCCGAGTCCTCTGGAACTTGCCCTCCCTGTTCAGCTCTGCACCTGCCTCCAGGTGAGCTGGTCTAGAGGGGCTGCCTAGTGCCAACGCTGGACAGAGGCCACTTGAATGAAAGCTCTCAGCCCTGCTTCTGTCTACCGCATGGAGATGCTGCCCACGGCCACATGTGTGAGCCCTGGAGCTGGAGTCACACCCAGGTCAGTGGGAGCCCAAAGCCTGGTCTGGACGCTCTGCCCTGCTCCTTCCAGGGCCACGGCCTCTGCTCAGCCCGCAGCTGGGGCCAGGGCCCTGGCGTCAGAGGAGGGGGCTGTCCCTGAGGCCCTGCGCCCCACAGCCATGTCCTCCCAGTGTCCAGCCCCGGGGCGTGGGGGTGGCAGAGGACTGGGACTGGAGCCGAGCCGGCCGCCTCCCAGGGCTGCAGACGTGGCCGCGGCCCCCGCCCTGCCACGTCGCCACGTCCCCGGCGAGCAGGAAGCCGTGCTCTCGCTCCTTCTGTGAAATTTTGGAGGACTGTTGTTGCAGGAAACATCTGGACGTGGTCCAAGGAACATAAAAAAAAAAAAGAGGGAGAGAGGGAGCCGGGGAGGAGGCGGGGGCTGGGGGAGGTTTGGAAAAACCATCTGATTTTGCTTTGCAAAGACAACAGCGATTACGCCTCGGGTTTGCAGTCACTCCAGAGTCAAGCCACGCCAGTGACGTCAGGGGGAAAATACGGGGCTAGTTGATGGTTTTGGGATGCACACAACACGGAATAGGTCCCAGGCCCACTGCTGGCCCTCGGGCCGAGCCAGCTGATGAGTGTGGTGTCTTTTCCAGATGGAGAAAAGCACAGGTCCCTTGCTTTGGGCCTACCAAGCTGTCTGCCCTCAAACACAGGCCTGACCTGACCGCCGGCTGCCCCTTGGGGGTCCACTGGGTTCCTCCTGAAAATGGCCATTTCCGTCAAGCCCCCCAGAGCACACCAGCTCCAGGGACAGAGACACCGGCTTTCCAAAGCCTGTTATCTTCTGCCTCCAGGGCCCTCCTGGGCCTGGGAGGGTGCCCTGGGGCTGCTGGCTGCAGCTCAGCCCTCAGGGCTCCCCGCCTACAGAGTGCCCCTGCTCCAGCACTTTCCACAGTCTGCCCTGTGGCCCTCATGGTGGCCCTAGGCCCTGGTGCAGGAGTGAGGGTGGCAGCCCCTCTGTCCCTCCAGTCAGGGCCCCAGGGACCGAACAGAACCAGTGTGGTTCGTGTGCAGAAAGGATGCCAACTCCGACCTCACGCTTCCAGTGACTCCCCATCAGCGCTCCCCAGCCCTGACCGTGGGTGAGGTCACCACCACCTCCCCTGTGGGCTCGCCCCAGCCCCTCCTGCCCTGAGAGCCGGAGTTCCTGAGGGTAGGAAGGCCTTGCCTGCCCCCGGTAAGGCTGCATGGTCATAAGCCACTTCTGAGGGGGTTCTGCACAGTGGCCTAGCTTGGCGCCACTCCAGGCTTCATCTCAGAAATGTATCTTGATGGAAGATCCGCTGAGCAGCCCAGGGACAAGCGAGGGTGGACAGGCGTCTGTCTGCTGAAGGGACTAATTCAGACTGACCAGCATTTATTGGCACCTGACTGGTGCCAGGCCCTGCCTCTGGGGCTCACCCAGGAGGGCTCAGGCCAGAGGCCCCTCCAGGGGTTCTCCAAGCAAACACCCTGTGGGCTGTTAGGGCCCCGCTCCTCTTCTCACAGTACAGGTGGGCAGCTCAGGTCCTGGGGGCATGCATCTATGGTATGGTCTGCGAGGGTAGGGCCGCTGCCAGGGTGTGGGCAGGGAGTGGGCCACGGTGTCTGGAGGGGTCAGTGCAGTGGGCTCTTGCTGTGACTGGGCCTCGATGGGTGGGTGGGTGGGGGGTGGCTGTCTGTCAGGCTCGGGATGGGGGGGGTGGCAGCTGCTGCACAGCCTTGAGTCATGGGCTAGGGCCTCCTGGCCTCTGGGGGCTCTGAGGACATTTTTTCCATGGAAAGTAGCCACTGGCTCTCTCTTTGAGGAGCTCTGTCCCCCGTCGCTGGTGGGATTCTTGGCAGGGGGCTGTGGCTGTCCGAGCGCTGGTCTCTCTGCTGACTGTTCTCGGCCCAGGGTGGGGCGGGAGTGCCACGCAGGGGCCAGACAGGTGTGTCTGGGCCTAGGCCAGCCTCCGCCAGCACAGGCCCTCTGAGCCTGTGGTTTCGGGGTGACAGGGATGAATGTCAGGGGTCTGGCTGTGAGGGGACCAACCTGACTCATGTACTAGCTCATCAAGGGGCAGATGGGGTAGGGGTGGGCACGGGTGGGTTGTGTTCTTGGGAACTGCATAAAATGGGGGGCAGGGGAATCTCTTATGCTGCTGAATTTAGTAGCAGCCTCTCCAAGCCCTGGTGGAAAGGCGTGTACCTGCCCTTGGGGTACCCCTGGGCC